CTTTATTTCTCACAGAGCATAGTAAGCCTTTCAGAGCAGGGGCAGTTGAGGTTACAGATATGCTCATGTTCTACACCTTTGGTTTGTAGCATGGGAAAGAGGCTTAAAGTTGCTTCTGCCTTCTAGGTAATCCAGAGGTCCGTGGGGCCAGCCAGCCTGAGCCTGCTCACCTTCAAAGTCTACGCAGCTCCAAAAAAGGACTCGCCCAACAAAAATGCCATGAAGGTTGATGAGGTAACATGCTTTTGTGTTGTCACACATTGTGAACGTCTGATTTAGTTATTGTAGGAGAATTTTCACAAATTGTATTTCAGAAGATATGACCACTTAGAAGATATATAAAATGAATGTATTTCTTTATAGTGCAGGTTTGTGTGTGTGTGTGTGCGTGCGTGTGTGTGTGAGGTTACCAAACTGTGGTTTTTTAAAAATAAACTTTAATGATAATTAGCTAAGGGCATAATTAAGGAATATTTTATAGATTTCTCGTGGGGAAATAAACTATCTCTCAGTAGATTATAAACACAACTCATTTTTCTAAGTGGCTGCCTGATTCTAGATTGCTTATTAAGCCAAGAAAGTATTTGTCCCCTCTCTAAGAAATTCAGAATTTGGGTTCTCCTTGCTTCTTAGCCAGATTAGCAGCTCCTAAGTAGATACTTAAGAAATACTAAATAAAACAAGAAATTTTCTCTCTATTGTTTACATTTTTAAGAGATTTTTGCTATAGAGCATGCATGCTCACTGGAGAGACAAAGACAGAGAGACAGAAAGCAAGAAATCATTCTTCAAGGGGGATGACCATGCTGCAATCCCTTCTCCATTCTCCTCTTGGGATTTTGGACATGTATACACATGTACCAATGTGCGCGTTAAAGCCACTGGGTCCAGGACTTGAACTGCAGTCAACCACACGAGAGTCCAGTGCCTTAACCACCATGCCACCTGCTGGCTCCTACATTCTTTCTTTTTAAAGAATTACTTAATTTTATTCATCATTACTATTATTATTTTTAATTTGTCCAGAGAGAGACCGAAAGAGAAAGAGGGAAAGTAAGAAAGCAAGCCACCTAGTCTGGGACTCGAACCCCCATCAACCATGTGGGAGTCCAGCACCTTAACCATCATACCACCTGTCAGCCCTTGTTTTTATTCTTTTTGTCTGTAACTTCTATGATTATTTTGGATTTTGGGCTCTTGCCTTTGAATAAAGTGAAGATCTACCTTCATTTCTGGGCAGGGATACTTGAACAGTATTTGCTTATAGCTAATTAGCTTATCTTTTGCCCTTTACTCTCTTCTCAGGGCTTGGGACAGTGGCTTTTTTTATCTTTTTGCCAGAGGGCTTGTGCACTCACTAGAGGGGAGCAGGCAGGAGAGAGTCTCCTCACTCCTCCACTGTGGGGTATGGTCATGCTGCATTCTCTTCTCCATTTTTCCATCCTGTCAGGATTTGGGGCATGCACACACATACACCCAACTGGTTTTTCAAGGTTCCAGGTCAAGGGCCTGAACCATGCTAAAAGCTCTGTGGGATCTGGCTTCCCCAACTACCTCGTCATGGGGCTGGGCTAGGCCAGGCTGGTGGCATTTTTGAGAGACAAGAGGGCAGCCAGTTAGTAGTAGCTGTGAAAAGTGTCTTCTCTGGCTAGGGAACAAACCTGCTATCCTGCTGTGCTTAGTACCAAAGTGATCATTTGAACTTAGTCATGTGCTCTTCAGGTACTCCCAAGCATTTTTTTTAAACACCACTCTTCCTATCCTTTAGGATTTTTTTCCAAATTAAATCTGAGGTGGAATACCAAGTACAGTGGATAAAACAAATAAAGGGGAGCTGCTTTTTGTTGTTGTCGGTGACCTTGGCCCTGTTGATGAAGGAAATAAGGTGCAAAGATTGTCTTAAGCAAAGTTCAGGTTGCACGTAACCCTTAGGGTGAATATAATTCACAAATCTTTAGAAATATTATACCTCTAAATTTAATAATTTGTTCTGTGATCTTATGACTATATATACTTTTTATACTTTTGTTTTGTTTAAATATGCGCAGCTTTCACTCTACTCAATTCCTGAGGGGCAATCCAAATATGTGGAGGAGCCAAGGACCCAACTTGAAGAAAGCATCTCACGGCTTCGACATCACTGCGAGCCATATACAAGTTGGTGTCAGGTACAGCTCTGCTGACTGTGGAGTGATTGTGTTTCTGCTTAGAGGCCATTGTGAAAAGTCTATATATTGGCTACATGTTTCTGGAAAGACACATTTAGTAAAGGGTCCCAAGTTAATAGTTTCCACCTTACCAATGTTCATCACTTTCCTGGTGGAAGCTTTGCCATAGCAGAAGAGAATTCCTCTTGTTGGGTGGCATGTGGCACCTTGACTAAAGAATGAAGGCCTGGCAATTACCTTGTTGGTTACAGTTAGGAAAACCTAATTGTTGACCAGGAGAGAATATAGTGCTGGAACTCTAATGGGAGGAAAAGGATACAGTGTAAATATTTTATTGATCTATCAAAATCGAGAAGTTTTTATTCTTCCAGAGATGCTATAGATCAGTACCATATTTAACAGGAATCGTTGCCCAGCCATGGTAGCATGTGCTGCTTGGTGCTAATACTTGCCAGGCCGAAGTCTCAAGGGAAGCCTGAGTTTGATTACTGACCCACCCTGAAAAGCTGGGTGTGGTGGCATATGCCTGTAGTCCCAACCACGTGAGAGGCTGAGGCAGGAGGATTGCAGCACAATGAGACCCTGTCTAAAGATACATAGATGGCAGGTAGGTAGATAGGTAGGTAGGTAGAAACATGAATGCTGATAGAGCATTTCAAATGCTGTAATGGAAGGGTAGATACCGAAATAAAGTAAAATTAACATATTTGAGCACTGAATTAACTTTTTCCCAGTGACCAAAGAACTACACATACAAGTTGGCTCATGTTTTAGATCAGGCATTTGTTATTATGTGAATGAATGTATTTCTGTGGTTTTTAATGTCTGAAACCAAAATTTACAATCTACACAATGTTTTTATTGGCTCTGATGCATATGTTCGCTGTACTTAACTGATTTTGAAAATTGAGTACAAATTAGGAAAAACTAATATGTAGATTATGTGCAAAGTGATCCAAGATTTACCTTGCTTGATATTTCGAGTTCAGTTTTCATCCGAACTTTTTTTTTTTTGAGAGATTTTTGTTGTAGGACATGTGCGTTCACCAAAGAGACAGAGACAGAAATCCCCCCCGGAGGGGGATGGCCACGCTGTAATCCCTTCTCCTCCATTCTCCTCTTGGGATTTTGGAAACACACACACACGTGCCCAGTGTGAGTTTCAAGCTACAGGTCCAGGATTCAAACCATGCTCGACTATGTGGGAGTCCAGTGACATAATTACACCATCCATTCGTCCCTCAAACTTTCTTTTTTTTTTTAAGAGAGACTTTTGCTATAGGAGTGTACACTTGTCAGAGAGACAGAGAGACAGAAAGCGAGAATCACCCCCCAGGGGGGATGGCCACGCCGCAATCCTTTCTCCTCCATTCTCCCCTCGGGATCTTGGGCATGCACGCACATGCACCCGGCGTGAGTTTAAGCCACCGGGTCCGGGACTAGAACCATGGTCGACTACGTGGGAGTCTAGCGACATAGCCATTACACTAACTGCTGGTCCTCAAACTTGTTTTTAAAACTTGAAACTCTTTGTGCCATTACTGAACAAAAATATTCACCAATTTATAAAGAAAATAGTAACCATGGACTCTAACAACATTATGGATTAGGCCATTATATTTAAGTTTATCATAACCATATTATTGAGTTGTGAACTACCTAACGACTTGAAATACAGGTTGTAAAAATGTAAAATGCTTAGACTTTTTTCTTTTATTCTTGAAGACTATTTTCTGTCTCTTGGTAAAGATAAGGTCTGCAAAGATTTTTGTATCATGTAGGCATGACTACTATTATTTTTAGTCTGCTTTTTTTTTTTTCGGAGAGGTTTTTGCTATAGGACGCATGCGCTTGCCAGACAGACAGAGAGAAACATAGAGACAGAAAGCGAGAAATCACCCCCCAGGGGGGATGGTCACGCCACAATCTCCTCCATTCTCCTCTCGGAATCTTGGGTATACGTACACACGCGCCCGGTGTGAGTTTAAGCCACCGGGTCCGGGATGCGAACTGCGGTCGACTACATGGGAGTCCAGAGACATAGCCATTACTCTAACTGCTGGTTCCCATGTCTCTCTACTTTTTAACCCAAGGTTGCTTTTTGTTTTTGTTTTTGTTTTTTTTTAATTTTTCCTGGGCACAATACTCAGTGAAGCAAAATACCTCTCTGGATGAGAGCTATTTTATCAACATGTTTATTTGTACTATTTCTAACTAAAAAAGGTTTCTTGTAATTATGCCCATTTTATTTTCTTGGGTAGAACAAAGTCTTCATGAATAGAAATGTTTCTAATTCCTGGCTCATTTTTCAGGCCAGCAATTTATTTTTTATGAGAGAGATTTTTACAACAGGACATATGTGCTCACCAAACAGACAGAGAGACAGAAAGCAAGAAACACCCCCTAGGGGGGATGGCCACACCGCAATCCCTTCTCCTTCCTTTTCCTCTCAGGATTTTGAACGCACACACACACACACACACAGACATACATGTGTGCACGTGTTTTATGTGAGTTTTATGCCGCTGGTTCCAGGACTCTAACCACAGTCGACTATGTGGGAGTCCAGTGATGTAACCATTATGCCTTCTGCTGATCCCCAGGCCAGCAATTTCTAACCGCTTTCTTGGAGAGCTAAGTTAATTTTTCTCATAGTGAGAATATGAAGCTAGCAAAAGAAGTGGGCAGTCACTCTAAACAGTGATCTGTAGATTTTCTTTCTTTTTTTTCTTATGGGCAAAATAAAACCAATGATAGATTGTAATGAAGTAATATTCAGTCCTTTGTGTGCTCCCTCAAGTTTAGCATTTATTATTTAATACCATTTAAAAGAGTGAGGATAACTTTTTCTGACTTGAACTGAAATACGTAAAATAAATCCTTTTCCCAGTGTTAACTAGATCTGATATCTGTGCATTGCTTTTACCATCTTCATTACTGACTTCCTGAAGGTAGTTATTTTTTTAGGCTCATCTGATGTTCACATACAAAGCCTTTCATTGTTGTTACGAGGATGTAGACACTCTTATTTGCTTCCGGATTGGATGTCTCTCCAACCTGAGACAGTCTCCTGTGCCTCATTAAAGCTGGTCAGAACATACTGTGTGCTATAGAGATGTACAGTGATTGAACGTAAATGACACATTAT